TTTTCCTGATTGTTATATCTGTTGTTGGTTAAGAAAATAAATGTAAAAAAAAAAATTTAGATTATAAAACTGCAGTAAACTATTCATCATATTACTACTCTGACAACTTTCTCTGACAACTCTTACTTTATAACATCATAATTTTAATTTAACATTTTCCACAGTGATAAGAATTCGAAATCATTTAGGACTTTTTCCCTCTTCAGATTGACATTTTTAAACAGAATGCTAGTAAATTTGGTAGTAATAAGAAGTATATTTTAAAAAATCCTTCTGTATAATCCTTTCTAACATGAAAGAGTAAGAAAAAAATTCCTTTACTTGAAATCATGCAAATTTCCGTTTACACAGTGATTTGTGTAAACCCTATAAAAATCCTCTCAAACTATTAGAATATGATTACCTTAAAAATATATGACAGTATGCACGATTTCTGAGTTCTTATTCTAGGAAAAGAGACCGCACAGAAAGGATGGAACAATGGTATGGAAACTTACCATCCTCTCCAGTTGGACTCCTTATTGCAGACTTATTGCTTCCATGTGTTAAAAAAAAAAAAAAATTCAAACCTTTAAGCCAACCCCAATCCCTAAAATTTTTGGCGCTCGTATTAAGCATTGAATCCAGAAAAAAAAACAAACATTTTTTTATCACAAGCCTATCAGAGTCAAGATTTATTTCATCATAAAGGGAATGTGTTAGAAATTAATAATAAAGTCTTAAAGAAATTATACTATTTAAAGCTGCTCAAATACCATAAATTACTTGGCCTTAATATTTAAATAAATAATGCCTATTTTGAACATTGCAGTCTAGAGCATATAATATAAATTAATTAGAGGAATATTAAAATAGATGAGGTTAACACATTTCTTTTTGCACAGGAGTGATTTTTTTTTCAATCTGGGGTTACATGAAGCTGAGGAATATAAACATCACATATAATTAATTTCTCTAATTCTCTGAAACAATGAAATCTTTGCTCAAACTACACTGTGAGGTCAATGAACTACCTAAACTCTGTTGTTGTTGTGCTTTTCTACAAATCAGGGTGCACAATGGAATGAATACCTCCCTAAAAGCAGCACATCTCTAAGTTTCAGTATGTGTCAAATGAAAGAAGGAAAAAGTTCCCTCACCCCCAAAGTGAGAACAGATGGGAATGTAAAATTAGATGGGAAGAGACAGGGAAGCTTTGGATGAGGGACCAAGAAATCTTCCCCATGGGGGGAGCCAAATACACCAGACCTCAGTTTGTCCTGCCTCCCAGTTAACTTCCAAATTAAATCCAATAGGAATGCAAAGCAATTCTTAGATTTGATGCATCGGTTTTGATTTCCGTAAGCGTTCGTGTAAACTTCACGAAGAAGCTATTGACAACTATGTTCTAAAAATATTTTGTTTAATCACTTTTGTGAGTTTAACATTACTTCATACTAAGACTGTTAACAATGAATATTTTTTTAATAAAATAAAATTTTCTTTATGAAAAAGAGGCAACAGGCATGAACGAACTTAAGATGTGGACAAGGAATTCCTTGTATGACGGAAGAGCATCTGCCGTAAATTGAAAAGTTATGTAAATAAAGTATGAATACGTTTCATATTCATTCTTTTCATATTTTATCTGTAGAACTGAAAAAAAAGATCCGTAATAGCAATCCCAGTAATACTTCCTATACCTAGCAGAAAAAAAATTTTCTGTTGAGACTGAATTTTATATAGTATGATCTAATTTTTCTATCTAAAAATATCAATTATAAACTTAAAAGAATATTCTATAGTGCCGTACTGCCTTCAATATTCTTTATTTTTAATATGGGTAATAGTTCAAAATTTAAGGGAAACAGAAAATGTGGTGCTCTCAGATTTGAATGTATTTAAAAACAGTAGTTTTATTGTTAATAATCATTCTCTGAGAACATTATAATATTAAGAGCAATTTTGTGTAAGATTAACCATGACCTTTTGAAGAACTACCAGAGATCTTCCACAAACGAGTGCTTGTGGAGATTTGTGTGTGTGTGTGTGTGTGTGTGTGTGTGTGTGTGTACGCATGCTCACTTTCACATAAAATTTACGTTTGTTGATACAACAAAGACAATAACCCAGTATTCTAATCAATAGTGCTCAAAATTTATAGATCACTCTCATCCATAATTTCAGATTTGTTTTCTAAGACAATGAAAAGCTCTCTGTGTACCATTTCCCTGCTGTCCCAGAAAACTGGCTTTCAATACCTTAACCCTGTTTTATCTTTTTTTTAACCTTACTTACATTGTAGTTTACACAACAAAAAGAAATATGGAAGTATGAATCATTCCAAGCGGTGAAAGTAAGTGCATGTCACACTTAAGTAATTTCAGTTTAAACAATCCAAGGCCCTGGTAACAGGATGTAGGTTTCCCTTGCAACAGGGAAAGAGGCCTCCCATAAAAAAGATGCTCAATATAGTACAGCGTGTTTAGCTGCACATGTGCATGAAAAGATCACTGAAAAGTAGATTTTTATCATTCAGATTACTCTAAGTTATACGCAAATCTTATTACCAAAAACAGAAAAAAAGTCTCTCAAGGCATCTTTTTCACCCCTCTCTTATCAATACATAAAAGCCACAATTGGCAAACATTTGGGGATACATTTTATTAAAATTCATTTTCCATACTTTCCATTTGTGCAAATAAAATGTGACTAAGCAAAAACACCTGTATTTTCAAATTCATCCTCATACTAATAAATCTAAATACTAATTCCCCAAAACATCAAATGCAGACCCCTCTACATCATTGCCTTAATTCATTTTGTGGTTAGTTGGTTGAATGATTTTAACATGGACAACAGAACACTGTATAATAAATTTAAAACTTCTATCTTCCTCTTGGGATTTGGGGAAACCTTGAATAAAGAATGCATATGCACACACTCAACATTTACTCCAGACTCCAGTCCTAGCTCCAGATCTTCCACTCTCTTTTTAAACTGGGTAAGTCAAACGCACTCTGGATGATAAACACGAGTGTGTAACAGGGATAGGGTCAGATTAGGTCACAATTTCTCAGACTACAGATTCCAGAGACCTACGGGCATATTCTTGGAAGTCTGAGAGGGTTACGAGGTGTCTTGTTTTGTTGTCTTCTTGTTATGATATAAATACAATTATATTTTGGATAGTCTCACTCACAACTTTTACCACTAATTATTATCACGTAATTTCAGGATCTGGTTTTAACACAGTGGTAATGATCTTGTTAGTGTTAGCTTTTTGTAGTGACTTTGTTTAACTCATGATACATGGTCCTCAAACTGAAATTCACAAATGTATTCTAAGACCTGACATTTTTCTAGGAACATAGGTCCACATATTATTCAAGATCGATAGACACTAAATTAGGTGATCTTTCTAATTCCTTTCCAGTCTGAAAAATATGTTGCCCTCTTATAGCAGCTTACTAATAATTTATGGAGATCAAGCTTAAGCACACTTAGAGAAAGCAAACTTCACAGGAGGAGTTATAATTTCTAATTCTATGTTGTACTCGTTTTCTTTTTATATTTAAAAATGAAAATTTTGATATAACACTATGGCATTCAGTGAGCAAAACGAGTAAGACTGTTAGATTAAGGTTCTATTATAATGCAAGTCACAATCATTTCAAATGATTTAGCGGACTACATATTGACTAGGAGTCAGAAAATTCCAGTTTCTTTATCCAGTTCTGCCTCTGACTTGAAACAGCATCTTGGTGTTAGAGTGATTTGTTCCTGTAGCCCCCTCCCTTTTTTTTTTTTTTTTTTTACAAAATTAGTACATTATGTTACTCAATGAATAAAATGTACAATAAATACCAGGCACTCATGTTATATAATGATAAGTAGTATGCTTCAAATTTTAATTTACATAATAAAAAAAACCAAATCTGCAAACTCAAATATTTGCTTTTCTTAATTCTGTTAGTGATAATATATAATGTATAAAAATAGCAATATAATTTTTTACTATAAATTATAGATTATGTTGATTTAGTCTTAGAAACATTTATGTTTAAATTTTCTTCATCTAATTTTAAAGACTTTACAATGTTGTCAATTTGCATTTAAAGAGAATTTATTTGTAGAAATCATGTTTTACTGGTTAAGAGCTTAACTTCTAATAACTTATCGTTACTCATATATCATAATTTTATATCAAAATTTTAAACCATATACACTTAAAGGAATTCTCAACTTACATGTATCTTAATAACAGAATCATTTTAACAACAGTAAAGAGAAGTAAAATGTTTGCAAACTGCAAAGATATTCTGAATTTAAAAAGCATATACTTTATACTTAAAATAGTTATTTAATTTTTAATTTAAAAAAGTCACAAAAATGAAACTCATTTAAATCATCTTATTCCTATCTGTGAGATAAATGCAGACAAATGTTTTAAAGAAAAATCCTCCACAAAGCAGTATATGGGAAAATGTGCTTCGTTTAACTGAACATTTTTTTTTTTTAAAAGAAGGCTTGAAACCATTTCTAAAGTGTGGCTAATAGCATGATTATTAGTTAAATTAATTAAATTAATTATTGATTTTTGACATTGTTTACTGAATTTATATTACTGCCTTTTGACAGACTCCTTTTTTTGTAAGGCGAAGGCTGTGAAAATCTAAGATCAACAGACTGCATAAAAAGCTTAAGTTTTATCAAAAGAGAAATATCACATTCTGATTTAAAAGTTTTCATCTCCTGTTATCCTAGCAGACATAACTTATATTTGTTTTGTAAACTCACTGCAAACTTTCTTCTTCCTATAAAAAATTTCAGCTTTTATTACTTCAAGATTTCTTTTCTAGAAGATGTAATTATACCATTAACTAACTAAAGGACAGTGGAGTCAAATGGAAAACGTGCATTTCTAAAAAGTGCATATATCATGATAAGTAACTTTTTTTCTCAGAATTGGCAAGTACCATTGCACAAATGTTAAAATCAGTGCCAAGAAGTGACTCTACCTGAACCGTAGAGCTGATCTCCGATGCAAAGCCGCCTGTCAAGGGAGCCTCGTGACTGATTAGCAGTCGCCCTGTTTTGATCACAGACTGGAAAAGAAAAGGGAAATCTAAATCTGATGTTGAAGAGAATACGTATTTTCAAGTATACGATGGCAGTTTTGATTACGGTATAGAAACAATACATTTCAATCCAATAAATAACTAAAAATCAGTAATACAATTTTATGCCAAAGAAGTTAAAACTCTCTCTCACTGGACAGTCATTTGGTATTTGCACAGTCACAAAATTTTTCAATATAGTTTTTAATCCTACTACCAAAGAAAAATGTGATTTGTAATCTTGTCACTAAAAATGCATTCCATTATAAAATACTTCTGTGTTACAAATAATTATTTTACATTGTCATCTCATAATCATATTTTTCTTCATACTGCTTTAAGAATGAAAGTGATTTTTTGGGCTTATTTTTGGGTATATTTGCATATAAATAAGCAGCCTTCAGAAATATTATTTTGTGGAGAGGGAAAACACAAAAATAGTACGTAAAAGCTGCAATGCAGAAAAAACTCAAGCTCCTAGATATTTAAGGAAACTGAACAGGAAGAAATCCCTGAAGTAGAAGGGTTATAACCATCTTTGTTCCTGTGTGGTTAACGACCACAACTCTATTTTAACATAGGAAATGTCACAAACAATAAAGATATATTCTCATTACTGGCTCACTGTGGTTGTTCACACAGCGTGATATACTCTGTACAATAATAAATCAAAAAGAATAGCTATGATATCATAGCAGGATGCCAGCTGTGTTGGAAGGTAAAAAATATTAATATCAACAGCAAGTTACTGCTTAAGATATGCTGAATAATTAACATGTTACCAATGAAAAGGGGCAATTTCTCCTCCACATGTCTAATAATTTGATATCGTCTTTCTTAAATTCTACATTAACATTTATGAATATGAAATAAGATCTTCCAAGCAAAAATATGTATATAAACTAAAAGATTTCCCTCATTCTAAGCAATTAGAGTTTAAAATCTTAAAAGTATGCAGCCATTTCAGTCAGCAGATGTTAAACCCCAAGATATGGCCAGTAGCCATGATAAAAATAAGTTATTGTATCTACTGAGTAAATAGTGACTTAAGAACATAAAATTTTATGGACACCTTAATGAATACATCCCCACCCCCAATGAAATGGTAACCTTGGTATGCTGGTACTTGGATTTTATGACTGTGATTAATTATGCCATTTACAAAAGTCACAAATTTCAATGCACCTGGTTAGGAATATACAGAGACAAAAACAGTCCACAATCATGAAAAAAAAATGTGTTCTCAAAGTACCCTTTAAAAGAAGTCCTGGTTTAGACCAGGTTTAGAGCACTACCAATGAGAAAAAACAGATTTGACAACTAAACCTTTCTTATCACTCTGAAACTATCTGCCAATGGATGAGTGTCCAGGGATGACCTCGCTAAAATCCATCGCAGCTAGAGGATGCATCTTAAATCTCCAGGAGGTAGAAATGAGACACTTTTATAAAAATGCTACTGTTACCTTAGACCTCCACACAACAGAATTGGAGTTTTTTATTTGAGCTGGGACCTATGCAAGATCTAATGACAGCCTTCAGAATGGTTCCTGGAGGCCAATAAGCAACCAGGGCAGACAGCCTGGCTTCCTAAAGCCTGCGTAATGTAGTAGGGAAACTAAGCACAGATGTAGCCAGAACAAAAATCTCCAAATTCAGAGACCTCCTGAGTGTCCTTCAGCAGGACAAAGGCTAGATAAACCAAGCTATAGCAATTCGGATGTGTATTATACAGCCATGAAAAAGACTGAGGCCATGGAAAGAGGCCTAGGGTAAATTAATTGGTAAAATCAGCAAACTGCAGAGCAATATAATCTCATTTTTACAAAAGACAAAAAACAAACAAACAAACAAAAAACTCAACTACCACAGCAGTGGAGACCCCAATAAAGCTAGTTGTATGTACTAAGTCAACGCAGGTAAACAGTCTGGAGGGATTCATTCCAAACTACCAAAACTTGCTCCTCCTAAGTGACAGTGAAAGAATTGTTGGGGAAAAGGCTTTTACCTTTTAATTTATGTAGAAAAGTATTTTTATATATTGAAAGTATTCTCAATTAGTCATAAATAAAGATAAAACACTTGAATAATGGTTAAGGCAACAAGTACATATTATGTTGTAGTCAAAATCTCCTCAAAAAAAAACCCTAACAGTATGTTTTGTTTTGTTTTGTTTTGTTTTTATAGCATTTTAGGAGTGGCTTCCCATTCAAGGAAACCCTAAGGTCCCAAACTCCAGCAGCAAATAGGCACACTAAAAACACAGGGCTTCAGCCTTCCCTTGTCAGTCCCTGTGTAATATGCTCCATGTCAGGATCATATCCAGCTCACCTCCTGACCCCTTAAACTGCTGGATCCTAGACAACATAGTAAATCAGCTATTAGTGCTTTTAGTATAGGAGGGGACAGAGTTCTTCAACACCTCTGTATGTGTATTATGTACATGAGTGTTAGATCAGGTTATGCTGGCAGTTTTGGAAGAAATTCTAGAAATTTCTAAAATACCAAGAGCTAAAGGGTAGACCCAATGACACTGTTAGTTTATGGAAATTATTATGGTATACAAACCAGAGGGAGACAGTGTGGCAAGAAGAGATAGAAATAATGATAATCATAAACAACTGGTTGTTCCGCAAGTTGCTATGTGCTAGGCTGTGAGCTGAGCATTTTAGATTGATTACTTAATTTAATTTGGAAAGCATCTAAGTTTCATTTTTGCTTCCTAAAGTCAATCCTGACATCTGAAAAATATTAAAATTCGTAAAATAAAGTCAGAATCAAAATTTTCAAAACTGCCAAAATTTAGAAGTCACATTGATATTTTCAAAGTCGTATCATCAAAGAATTAGCATATATCAGTAAGGATTAGTCTATAAGTACAGTTCAATAACTTTGTAAGATATAATTGAATTCAACTTGGTATGTTCTTTTTTTACCTTGCACAGTTTTAATTGACTAGAATTTCTGATGATTGGGTTTTTTTGTATACTTTTGGAAATTATTAACACTTTGCTAATACTATGATGAGATCATCACAAATCTAGAAAATTGAAGACAGTGTTACTCTATTCTTCGTGATTTAATTAGGTATTCTGGTTAAATTACATATTCTTGTCAACTTTAATAGGCATTTAATTTTCATACATTTAAGCAGAATGATTCAAAACTACCAAGTCATACTGCTAGCCAAATTTAGCATTTTGTTGTATTTAGTAAAAACTAATATGGTGCCTTTCAATGGGGATAGCTGTTAACCTTTTTAAAATAACTATACATATAAATAGTAATAATCCTTTAAAATTCATTTTCCTTAGAAGAAATTTTTAAAGTTTCAAGTGTTCTTCTGAGATAAACCTATTTCACCACTTGAAAAAAAATTTTAAGAGCATTTAAACAACTTTTCAATATGAAAAGCTGAACCTATCAGAGCCAGGAAAGATCACGTAAGGCTGGATTTTCCAGTATCTGCTTCTTCAGCTTTCTGCCACTAAGACCTGCTCCAGGATTCTGGCCTCAGGCACACGGAGCACCAGTGAGTTAGAGGCAACAAATGGCACTAGGGAAAGCGGAGCCAGTTAAAGACTAGGACTGTGAATAATGGTTCTCTGTATCCGCTGCTACCACTCAACAAAAGGGCTTTGTTCCCTAGGAGGGCTCCAGAAGATTTGTCAAGAAAACTTTAAAAGCAATTCTGAAAGGCTAGGAGTAAAACAGCCTGTGGCTGCTAAGTCTGTTACTACTGGTCAGTCCTGGATTTCTCTCATGGAGTGTCACTTTCTCACTATTTCAGTCAGCCATCCCTCCCCCAGGGCCCCAGCACAGCCCATCACAAGAGGAGTTATCAAAATTTCAATACTGAACACACAGCAACTTTGCCTACAACAGACAGATCAAGACACCTCTGTTCTGATGGCAATGCCTTGTTCCTGGTCTCACGGCTCCGTGCTGTGTTCTTGTGGTCCACCTTCTACCCAGACGTCACTACAAATGGCTATCACTTCAAGTTCTCTATGAGGGATACCTACTCCAGTGCTCAGAATACGGCAGACACTTGAGAAAAGTTCATTAGTTACAAAGCTATTATAAAATAATCTCATTATATTAAGTATGTCCTCCTGTGATTTACTGAAGCTATTGCTTTCTTAGCCCGCTCTATTTTTAAGACAGGGCAAAAGTGTACTTCAGCACATCCCACAATTTAACTATGAAATAGTAGACTCCAAACTGAGGATATTTTAATGTAGAAATGACAATAAGAGATCTGGAGTAATAGTAGGATTGCTAAGTTATACTCTGTTAAAATGACTACACAGATTTTGGCTGCCCAAACATTGGACATATGTTTTAGTGAATGTAGCCTTTAAAGATTTTAACACAATCCAACCAGGAAAACTGTTAAGCTGTCATTCCAGGAGAAAATGATACAGACAAGTGAACCATTAAGCTTGCATATGCCTGAACGTGTAACACTGATACTCAAAAAGCAAAATACATATATTATTTCTTTCTCAAACTCCACAGCAAGACTTTCTCCTACAGAGCATTTCAACCTACCCAGCACAAAGTTCAGCAGCCTATTCTGATTGCTGATAAGATAAAGTAAGAAAGTAATACTTTGGGTAGGTAATTTATAGCCCTTTTACCCATTTTTAAAACAAATCTGAATACAAAGCTAATGAAAAGCAAAGAAACACCATAGCTGGCCCTTACCATTTCCTTTTGAAATCAAATGTTTATAAATACATATAAGCAGAGGTAACAGTAAAATCACACACACTTGTGTTTCATTAATCAAGAATATATTCATCAATACTTAAACAATCTGGAATCATTAAGGACATGATTTAAATTAGCTTCAAATATCACTGCAAATGAATTATGTTTTTTTTGAAATGTTTTCTTGTCTAGTAGCCAAATGCATTTGAAATGTTAGCCAGAAAAACCTCACAATTAATCACAGGCCAGCAAATGTATTATAATATGCCCAAT